CAGCATACTAATATCCCATTTCCCTTGGTAGCGACGTTCCATTTCACTCAGATCCTGGTGGAACCATGTTTCTTGTAATTTTTCAACAGTTTCTTTATTTCCTGTTTGTAATTTGGACTTTTTTATTGCCTAAAAAATTATCTACCACACTCACAAAGCTGAGCCAAGCATTTTTTTCCACAACTGTCATTTTTTGTATAAAATTAGGGTCGCGCAACAACTTCCGAATCTGTGGTCCATCAAAAATTCCTTCTTTCAGTTTAGCTTCTGATTTTTTCGGAAATTTTTCTTGGATGTATAAGAAAGCTTTCCCATTCTTGTCTAAAGATTTTACGTATTGCTTCATCAACCCAAGTTTTATGTGAAGGGGAGGAACAAGAACTTTTTTCGGTGGTACAAGAGGACTTTTAAGGACATTTGCCGAGCCTGGGACAAAAGAAGTTCTAGGTGTCCATTTGAAGTTCTTATAATGGTTCTCGCGATCTCGACTATTCCAAAGACACAAGAAGCACGGATGCCTTGTGAACCCACTTTGCTGTCCTAAAAGAATAGTTATAATTTTTAAATCCCCGCAAATTTGCCAATTGTGCTCCGTGTAATTTATTTTTTTAAGTACCAGTTTCATAGAATTGTAATCTTCTGGCATATTCACGGAATGAGCTATCGGAATTGCGGCTAATTCATTAGTATTGTGCAAGAGTACTGCTTTCAGACTGCGGGAGTTGGAGTCGATAAAAAGTCTCCATTCTTCGCTTTTGTAAATGTTTGGTTTCAAAGAATTTATAAGCTCCTTAACATTTGTGCAATAGACAAGTGATCCCTCTTTCTTGAAAAAGGGAAGAAAGTCACTCTCTCGATTTCGGAAATAAGAAACTTTTGTGCCTTTAGCTAAATGTCCATCTTTCTTGAGTGCTGACGCAAGGTATTCCGCCGCATCTTTGGCTAACCCCAAATTTCTTACGACATCATTCAGCTTATCCTGATCCCATAGTTTTGTAGGCCTTTCTCGTTTGAAACGATCATATTCTTCACCACTGTCAGAATTCGAGTCAACTTCACTTTCGGAATAAGTACTGCTGGAATCCACAGTTGCCTCATTAAGATGTATTTGCGTTTCAACATCCACTTTATCAGCAGTGACAGCCATCTCAACATTACTGGCACTGGCATCACTCAACATTACATCATCGCCATTATAAATTGGAGGAGTGAAGGATGGAACACTTGGATATGTAGCGTGATAAGAAGGCATTATACTTTTGAACTTTATGGAGCAATTAGCATTCCGCTTCAGTTTTGGGCTCTCTCCACACAGCAGGAAATTTCATACAATTTTCGCCGCTCGAATTGGGCGACACACGATATAATGTGGTCCTGCACTTGTTACATATACTGCTTGGTACACAGGAATTTCCTTGACCACTTGCAAATTGCAATGAGAAGAAAGACTTGTATTTATTCTCATGCCCAGAAAAGGGTCTGCGACGTTTTTCTGTTTCGTACTTACCACATACGTAACAAAACATGGAGCTTTCCTTGTTGCATTTATGAATAGGATCACCTAGATTTCTTCTTGAAGCATTAAACTCAAAAGTAGCCAAGTTGCCCACTACTCGAGAGCTGCGGTTGTTTGATGACGACGCCTGCGGGCCCGCTTGCTCACCCTGACCAGCCGCCGATACTGGGGTATCCCTCCCCTGCATCGTAATCTTCTTCAATACTTTTGCCATGAAGGCATCGGTTTTACCTAGGAACTTAGCCGGTAAACCGTTATCCGCCTTCACCGCGTGGAGGTGTCCTAGTTGCAAAAGTAGGTACGGAATCAATTCTATTTGGCAAAAAATAGAATGAGATTCAATATCTCTTTCGCAAATATACGTATATGACGTTTCATGGTACAAAAGACTTTACGCGACAAAAACATTAAACTCAGTATTTCGTGTTCATTTCGTGAAAACTGAATCTAATGTATTTGTAGCGTAATGTTTCTTTCACCGTGAAGCATTACATACATATAAACATATAAGCACACCCCACACGAATTTTCATAAAACAGACAACTTTAACACTTCTCAGGATAGTTAAGAAGTTTAAGGGGGGAATAAGAAGATAAATTTATTTTTTGTGGTGTTTTTCAGTTTCAGCGCCTCACAAAACATAGGATCAGACACCGCACTCAACTTTAAGTCAAAATTTAAATTGCAACCTCTACTCTGGGGGTGTTAAAGGGGTTGTAGGGGGTTAAGGGGGAGAAGAATTTGTTTTTGGTAGTATTTTATGGTTTCAGCGACCCAAAAAACGTAGGATTAGACATCGCACTCGACTTTTCGTGAAAATTCGAATTTTAACGCCCACCCTGGGGGTGTTAAGGGAGGGAAGAATTTGTTTTTGGTAGTCATTTTTAGTTTCAGCGACCCAAAAAACGTTGATTTAGACACCACACTCGAATTTTCATGAAAATTCGAATTTCAACCCCCACTCTGGGGGTGTTAAAGGGGTTGTAGGGGGTTAAGGGGGGGGAAGAATTTGTTTTTGGTAGTCTTTTTTGGTTTCAGCGACCCAAAAAACATAGGAATAGCCATCCTACTCGACTTTCTCTTTAAACTGAAATTCCATCCCCAGGGAGCGGGTGTAAGGGGGTGGTAGCGGAAAAATGGCCGATGAAAAAAATTTTTCATGGTCATATTCGGTTTCAGCGACCCCAAAAACATGGGGGTAGGGGGTTGTGACCTGTGGGTTTTGACTTTTTTTTTGTGTGCCTGTGTTATTAATTAATATAAATATTATATACTAAATAAATATTAATATTTATTTACCAATTGATATCTTAATATAATAATAATTTTTAAATAGTATATAAAATTATCATAAAAAATATTTTAATATTAAATAATTTATAAATATTTATATTTGATATTTTTAAATGCACACGTCAATAAATAAACTGTCAGGATTGATTCAGAATTGAATTAAGATTAGATATTCAAGCTTCACTAACGAAGATTGACCGAGCCTTGAATCGAGCATGGGACGAACATTGGTGTCCAATGCTGAATCAATATTGAGTGACAGTGATATAAAGACTGCTTCAACACTGGGTTACCCACGCTGGGCGTTCAAGACTGAATCAAGCTTCAATCCATCGTCAGCATTGGTCTTTCGCGCCTGGGAGGTATAATTTTTCCATATCTTTATTGAAAATTTCTACATGGGATTTAAAAGCAACAACATACCCCAAACATTTGTAAAATTCAAGAAGAAAAATTTTAATTTATAAGTAGGAATTTGTTATTTACTTTCAAAATCATTTCTAAAACATTTCTAGAATTCAAAAATATAAAAAATTTTATTCATAAATCCCAATTTGCCCTAATGGCGCCTAAAGGAATTTCTATATTCCAGTGCCCGCTGAAGTCAACTTTCAGTTATGGGTGATTTTCCGCAAACTGTGACTAAAATGTCACTACCGTGGCATGTCCCCTACCCAGTTTTTATAACTTTCCATCTGTTTTTGGAAAACAAATATTGAAAAAGCAGAAATCTGCTAAATAATATAATCTTGAATATAATTAAACTCGCTGAATTTATGCGTATTATTTTATGTTATATTGTTTATTCTTTGTTTACAAAAAGTCATTAAACTTTGTCCCAAAATTTTTTAGATTTTTACAATTACGATCTTTTTGAGTTTGCATATTCACAAAATTAAAAATAATATGGCAATAACAACTAATTTTGCATCAGGAAAATATAACAAATAAATGTAAATAAAATAATAAAGGTTTTAAAGACATATGAAAGTAATATCCTTTAGTAAAGTGAGAAATTGTTTATGTCACAAATTATAGTGTCACTACCGTGGTATTCAGTTTTCAGAAGTAAGAATTTTTTTAAATAAAAGCTATACTTTCCTGAGATAGACATAGTTAGCTACATTCTAAATTATTTCGGAAAGTTTTTGAAAATAAAATTGTTATAAGTAACACACAAAACAAACTGAAAATGTCACTACCGTGGCACTTAATGGATATAGCATATTTATAACGTTACTCTTGTAAATTAAATTTTAATAAATACACGGAGAAGTAAAACATGATAAAATAAATATTTTTCATGTTAATGTTGTTGAACTTAACTTATTGTTTAATAGTAACGGGTTATAAATGAGGAGCAAGCGGCCAAAAGTTGATAAGTCCATTTTTTAAAAAAATTTTACTTTGCATTTTCCGAGAATGATAATTAATTAAATTTTTAAATAATCACTGTTACATTATGAAAAAAATTGTTTATATATATATATATTAATCGCATAATGAATTAAGAAAGTCTAATAAACTCTGTATTTAAATGTGTAGTTCAATTAAACTCCGTAATTTAATTATGAGATTTTAAAAAGTCCCATACTTAACACATAGCACGGTACATGTAAAGGAGAAACTCCATCTAATGTTTTATACTTCTCCCTAAAAAAGTAATCCCATATTTAGAGAAAAAATCTTCTTCTAAAGTTCTCTCAATTTTTCCTATTAAAACAAAAATATGACATCTTTCGAATGTGGAATATTTTTATTTATAAGTCATTAATAATAAAACCAAACAATTTTTTGAGGTTCTGATGTCAAAAACGTTAAACTAAAGTCAAATAAATAAGTAAATAATTTTTTTAATTTATGTAAGTAATTAACAATTAATCATTAATTATATTCATTTACTTACAAACATATTATTTAGTGCATCGAAATAACTTTTCTCTACCAGTTCATAACCATAATTGGCAAATAATATGCTATAGGAAAATCCTCTCGTGTGAAGACTATTACTTTTGATATAGTGAATAAGAGGAAAATATTCAATCAGTTTAGAGGAATCTGCCTCAAATTAAGAGTACTTTTTTATGGTGTTTTGAACCATAGTTATACCATGTTACATTTAGTTAATTGAAATATTTGAGTTAATTGGATAAATTTAACACAAGATTATAAAACATTTTTTTATTTCAGACACTACCTCGTGCCTCTATCGTTGGCACAAAAGAGTAAATGGAGAAGAAAGGGTTTAAAGCTTCATATTTTTAATGATCACACATTTATTGCAAGGCACATACCAGGGTAATAAAAAATACTCTTTTTGAATTTTTAACTAATAAAATAAAATAATGTGTTGCTTTTCAATACTAAAAATTAATGATCTCGTAGGACATCATAATAATTTTGTTTTAATTTTTTGATTTTTCTCTTCCTGTAAAGCTGAGCCACAATTTCAAAAGACTTCCCGTAAAAAGATTATTTTAACAGCAACCAGTATAAATACAGTACCGTCCATAATTGAGTGGACAGTAATTTTCATTAAAAATTATTTTTCTGTTAATAAGATTGTTTAAAAGTTTTTGAATTTTTTTAATCCAAGTTTGACGACTTGCATTTTCTGAGAAAAAATTACACGTTAATGCCTATAAATAATTCTCATTCTGGAGAAAATTACCTTTAAAATAAACTTAAAATCATTAAAAAAACATTCATTATTTTAGAAGTTATTAAAAGTTTTGTAAAACATTAAAAATTACGAGTTTTTAAGAATATCTAAATAAAATATTGGCCAAATGACTTCTAAAAGATCTTGTTCTATTCAAAATTTTATCATCTTTTAAAACATAAAAAGAAAAAAGTTTTTGTTTCCATACATAATATGTTTTAAAATGTTTTTCATTCACCTGAAAATGGGTATGGTCTCTAAATTTTGATCGGTAGTGTATATTATATTTTTATCAGAGTTTTTGTTGGGATTAAATTATTCTGGGATAAATTATTTATTACTATTACATTTATTAGGAAAATTAATATAATTTCCGAAATACTTTACATGTTTTAATGTTCTTTGGATAATTTTAAAATAAGCATCCAGTTTATTTTTAAAAAAATTAATGTTTTTGTTTTAAAAAAAGAATATTTACCATTAAAATTTAATTCTAAAAGTTACAGATGCTGAAAATGTAATCCAATTATGATAGCACCTATTTATTAACTTTTAGAGTTTAATTTTATACCTAAATATGCTTTTTGTTCAAAAAAATATTTTTAAAATAAAAACCACGTGAAATAAATTAGAACCTCAAAATTACGCGCGCACAAAAAGAAATTATTTCAGCCAATAGCGACCGTCATCATCGTATTTTAACCAATCGCGACCGTCATTATCGTATTTCAACGACTCACGACCGTCATCATGTCATTTTCACTACCAAATCACGACCGTCACTCTCAAACTCCAGCCAAAAAATAGCTGTTTTTCTACTAAGGAGATACGTATGTAATTAATAAATGTATAGCAGAGCTACGTGCGCGATATTTCTGTTTCTGTCTTATGATACTCAAGACCTTATTTTATTGTGTGTATATAAAAATGTGACTAAGACCTTATGATCCGTTTTTCTCTTCTTCTGAAATATTGGAAAAAGATTACAATTTTTTTTTGAAGAATTAAAAAAACATAAAACAAGAAAACCAAAAATTAAATTTAACACACTGAGCTATATTGTGAAATGTTTATAAAACGTTAAGGCAATTACAGATTTTCTCAAGATAATAGAAAGGTTTTTTCGCAAATAGAATTAACATTACCAATTTGTTGAAATTTGTACCACTGTTAGATAAAAGTTTTTAAAAAATGTAGTTAAATTTTTTACACCTGTGGTACTTGTGAAAAAAGTTATAAGCGTCTTTGTTTTTCACTTTTAACATTGAGTTTTGTGGGAATTGAGTACATTTTCAAACATATTTACTCACCACAAAGTACTTAACATTAAGAAATTAATAAAACATTTTTTAATACGAAACAGATATATAATGGTTAAATATCTGTTAAAAAAGTGTCATTAGGTACCTGTGAGAGTTGCAATAAATTAATTTGTAAAAAAAAATCATGTTTTATACAGTATATTGAACAGCTGTTTAAACATCTGGAAACATTGCATACAATTTTCTACTCAAAACTAAATGTAAACAAGTCATACCAAGCATTTGCAACACGACTAAAGAAATACTGTGTTGCCAGGCGTTTCAAAGTACCAAGCAAGTCAAATTACAAAATAATGTTTTTTGTTTTGATTAGTTCAGTCAAGCGATAGAAAAACTTAATAAATATATATTAATTATACATCAGAAGAATTATTTTATTGAAGTATTCTTCCTTCTTTGTCAAAACATTGACACCAAGATTTATTGATAGTCATGATAGAAGTCGAGGTATAAGCCGTCCATAAACCACGAGGACAATTTTTTATTAATTTTTGACCCTCCCCCTATCCAATATTGAACACAAATTTTTACTTTATGCAATTGACCTTAATTTTGTCACTCGGTGGTTTTTAGGGACGCTGATTACGAATATGATGTAAGTTTTCATAAATTTAAAATGGTGTATTCAATATGGCAGAATTTTCTTTTAAATTTATGCAATTGACCTTAATTTTGTTACTCGAGAGGTCTAATACCAGTTAGTTAGCTGTAAATGTCATAGGAGCGCTCACTGACAATTATTTTAGTACTTGCGTCGATTCACGACCAGCGAGCGTGTATAGAATTTTTTTTTTAATTTCTCTTTCCCATATTATATTAATCATTTGAAATTTTGAAAACAAACATCGTATTCGTAATCAGCGACCATAAAACCCACCGAGTGACAAAATTAAAATTAATTGCATAAAGTAAACATTCTGTTCCATATTAGATCCGCCATTTTTAATTATGGGAAACTAAAATCAAATTCGTAATCAGCAACCACAAAAATTCCCGAGTGACAAAATTAAGATCAATTGCATAAATTTAAAAAAAATTTGTTCTATATATTAAATCCGCTATCTTGAATTTCTTAAAAATAACATTAAATTAGTAATCAGCGACCCCAGAAGCCTTCGAGTAGGAAAACTTAAGCGAATTTAATTACATTTTGGTATTTTGAAAAATAGTGACCACCCCTTTCAAAGTTCCCTTTATATTTTAGGCCATATTTGGTCCGCCATCTTTAAATTTTACATTCTAGTTTACTTTTTTTAAAAGTATACAATTTTTGTGCCTCTATGGATAAGAATTGAATATTATTTACGCACGTTTAACTCCTTGGCAGTGTAGTCAAAATAAAGTTTTCGTGTCACAACTGTGATAAATTTTTTTATTTCTTTTAATACCAAATATAATTATATTTTATGTTTTTGGGGTTACTGAATCCAAATATTTGGATAGGTAAATGGGTAAAAATATAACTAAACTTGAAAAAATGAAATTTCTTTTCTGTTTTTAAAATTAAAACCGATATATTTAATTTTTGTTTTAAACGAAATTCTTTTTTTTCACACCGGAATCGAAAAGAGCACACTCAATACCTATAAGAAACATACTTGCGGTATAAAATATAATCCGTTTTATTCATAAAAGTATAGGTTGAATTAGCGCAAAGAATTTTCTTATTTCAGGCGTTAATGGGTTAATCATTAAAATAATATTATAATATTTGGGGAGAGTGGGCCAAACCGTCCAGATGTCAATATCTCCGAAATGGCGAGATTGTCAAAACTGTTGTTTAGAATTTCAAAACAACCATGTGTAGTATACCTTATTTTTAAGCTAACATTTATTCTCAAAATGAGCGTATGGGGCAATCAGCAATAATTTTAATAAGTTAAAATTTGACTGGTTCCCTTCTTAAGTTATTCTCTTCATGTAAATAGTAATTTACAATCTTATAATCGAATCAGTCGAAATATAAAATAAATGAACTAAAAAGAGTTGTAAAAATGAAAAGGTTTTTTTATTTTAAGTGAATTAAAATTTTCTTCACTTATATTTTAAATTCTTATTTCCCTAAAAATTCATGTCGGGAAACATGTTTTTTTAATAATTTTCTCATTACCAGGAATTTTCGGTTTTCATTAATTTATCGATAATTTAACTGTTAGATTTCATTGGTTCTTTAGAAAAATGAAAAGGGCCCATTTTGTCGGTCATTTGCAAAAAAAATCCTTATTTTTAAAATGGAGGTGTAATTGTGTAATTGTCAAAATAAAAATTTAAATATTGCTTTTAATTTTTTCATAATAAAGACTGTCAAAAAAATTTAAATAAGATTAATATCTATTCTTTTTCTTCAAATGACACAATAAAATTGTACCTAATCATTATTCTTGTAAAAATATTATATTAACCCTTTCAGTCACGCAATTAAGATAATACTCAAAACATTATAATCGCTATTGAAAATAGGGTTTCTGGGGTCGCTGAATACGAATCCGGGGTCAGATTTGCAAAATATTAAAAACTCAAAATGGCGGATCCAATATGGCGGACGACTTTTTCAAAAAATGATCCAAATCACTTGAAACTTGTTACTCCGGTTTTTTTTTTAAATGATCCAAATCACTTGAAAATTGTTACTCGGGGGTTTTTTGTGTCGCTGATTACGAATCTGCTATTAGTTTTAAAAAATATAGTATCTTACGTAGGATTTAACATAGGAATGCAAATTATATGAATTCCCAGGTGAGATCGTATGTTATTTTCCATGTAATTTTCTACATGGAATCTTACATAGGATCTCAGGTCGTTTTTAGTTTTGGTCGAATTTCGACTTTTGCTAATTTTATGAAATCTTTACGTTTTGAGGTGCCCTGAGTCCGAAAAACATAGTCCGGCGAGTGCGTCTGTCTGTGTGTCTGTCTGTCTGTCCGTCTGTAGACGGTAATATGTTGTTCCCACGATAACTCTTGAAAAACTTATCGGATCGTTTTTAAATTCAACACACTTAAACTTGGTGTAAAAATGAAGGCTAAGTTCGATAACCAGCCATTTTCGTTAAAAACTACAAAAACTACGGTAGTTTCAAAATTTTGAAAAATCAATTTTTTCAAATTTCAGAATTTTTAACTTTATTTTATTTTAGATTAGAAAAATACAAACAACTTTTCTCTATAACATTTTTTCATAAAAACTCAATTTTTGAAGTTATAGTCTATTAAATGGTCAAAAAAACTTAAAAAAATCCTAAAATAACACTAAAAATCGAATTTTTTTAAAGGAATAAAAATCAGTCAATTGATTTTGACATATTCTCACCCTAA